CCCGCCCAGGACGCTGCCGCAGCTCTCCACCGATTAAAACCCGGACTGTCGCGCTGCGAGGCGCACAACGCATGAGAGGCGTCCCGAGGAGCGAAGCCAGCACGAGGGGTTGAGACCGACAGGAAGCGGATCCGAGCGGACGCAGAATAAAATGCTCCCGGTGACTGAGGCTGGCGGGGATGCTGCTGTCATGGCATCCCACTGTCTCCCCCTGACGCACCAGCGGCCACCCGCTGCGGCCAAACAAGACGCACCGTGTTAACGACCACGACACAGGAAAAGCAGAGCGAAGCCTTCAAAATAACAACCCCACCCCACGATAAAAACCGCAGAAAGCTCTTTGTAAGGCCAGATTAAAACATAGACGTACCGGACTGGAAGCCTTTAGGGCTCTGCGGGTCTAGAGTCCACTTAATAACGCAGCCATGCTGATACAGTATGTGGTGAGGTAAATAAGGTCAGTGTGTTTGGACCCAGCGCGTCTCCACGGCTACATGTCTCATAGGGAACCATAAACACAATAACACAAGAATGAGAAGCTAAATGTTCTGTTCAACGATCTCACTTCACTATAAAGCCTGATACGTTTTCTTTGTCCAGTATGTTGTGCTCTTATTGTGAAGGCAGGCTGGCTTCCGGGATGAGCTATACCTGCTGCGTGTTCAACATGAGACACGCACGCGCTCAGACACTGAATCGCAGAAACATACAGAACCATCATCATGGATTATTTAATGATTTCTGTACCAGTCACGTGATGTGGCGGTCGTCGCTCCGCTTTGGGATGACGTCACCTCATTGTTTACATGGATTTGTCGGCGGCTTCATGGCGATGATGATTAAATAATTAATATTTAATAGTAACAGTTACACACACACACACATCCTCGGTCTCGGTTGCTGATGTTCTCTGACGTAGAGTTGTCACAGATACACCAGGGTTTGTGGACCGAGCGCGTACATGTGCCTGACAGGTAACGTTTGAATTAAAAGTTTCACGAGTCTCTTCCGAAAACTGAGTAATTAACCGAGTAACTGAGTGTCACGATGACTGTTCACGTTTTCCGTGATCCTATTAAACATCTGGTCACCTTAATGACCCTCAGGTGTTGCTGATCCTCACATCACGTGAGTGAGACGGTAACCCCGCCCACACGCACACACTCAACACGGGCCGACCGAGTCTATTCCACCGTGTGTCCTGTGGGGGCGCTACAGGTCTACACTGCACAGCATGCTGACCCAGGATCCAGCAGGCTACTGAACTGAATCAGCGTTAATGAGCTGCTTAAACACTGACATTAACTCTAATGAGCTACAATCACACAGAGAGCGGTCGTTAGCAGCATCAACGCACGCACATGCACACACAGAGGGTCTGAACCAGTACATCACATGTTGTGTTTCACATAAAGGTTACATTCACTGCAACATCATACACAAGAACCCGTTCATTAAAACCTTTATTTACAGGTAAACAGTTTGTAAAAGCCTCAGCAGCCCTGAGCCAGTGGTCAACGTCAGGTCAACGTCAGGTCAGGATCTGCACTGACTCCTGTACAGGAACGTTTACATGCGTCCAGTCTACAGGAAGAACATTTGGAAAGGATTCAAAAGCCAAATTCCCTGAACTCTGGAAAACTCCCAGACTTTACAAAACATTTCACAGCCTTTCTAAATCCCTCCAAATGCTCAAAAAGCCTAAACATCCAGTGAAAACCAACCCACTGTGCAACACCAGACGAACTGAGTCTGCAAGTGAACAGTCCCAGTTTTCATGGTGTGTCCTCAGGGAGAACTGGTGAAGGCTTTTAATGTGAAAGGCGGGAGCATGAGGAAGACAAACAGCCAGAGTTGGACCCCCGTGTTAGATTACTCTGTTCTAAATTTCTTTATTGTCAGACTTCAGACTGATGATGTTGCCATAGCAACAGTTAAAAATAAACAGCTTCAGTTTAGTGCCATGTGACAAAAGGATCAAATACTGACAGGAAGATTAGAGATTTTATGTCAAAACAGCTGCTGATTCACTTCCTGTTGCTCAGTTTGCAGACTGAATGTCAAAGATCCAAACAGCCCATGTTTAACAACTAAAACCCACAGACCTGAGTCCAGGATCCACAGCAACCTGGTCCACAGTCACACTTCAGATGGAAGAATGGGAAAGAAGCTGAGAAGTGAAGCTTGTTATTTCAGTTAAGTCAGTTAAGTTAGAGTTATTTCAAAATTCATATTTGAATATTTAGCCCATGCTGTATTGCTGTGTAGTGTTACACTGCATTTCTTAGCACAAAATGAATGGAATGATTCATCAGCAAGTTTCCACTGACATGAAACAATAAAATCCAACTAATCCGGAAAACAAAAGTCTCAAAAGCTAAAACAGTATCATTATCAGTACCCAGGGCTCCTCCCACCTGTCTGCTCAGGTAAACTGATAACATTTATGACCAATCAGCTGTCAGACATGCTCAGACTGACTTTTAAAAAAGAAAAATAAAACCTTTCTAAAAACACTGAACCTGGTTCTCTCTGGACAGTTTTTTTCTAACTGATCAGTTCATGTTTTCATTTTTGGTTTTCGTCCTGTTGCCGTGGAGACGAGTCCTCCTCTGTGCACCTGGACAGGGAACACAAGACACACCAGTGTGAAGCATAGCTTAAATCCCAGTTCCCTTAATTCATCGTTCCTCGCACCTCATGCCAAAGCTCGTCTTCTTGCCCTGAGGAGCGAGGACAAAGTAGAAACATTTCCCACATATGTAGAACAATTCAGATTTCCAGTATCAATTCCATCACCTTAACATAGAGGTAGGCAGTGGTGACACGTCCTCCATCTTTATATGTAGTCTATGATGGGAAGTGAACAATAAAAATATTAGAAAATAAAGAAATTCTTCCTATCTGATAACGTGAAACTGCTCTGAGGTGACTGTAAAGACTAATTCAAATATTTATTAGAGCAGTGACATCACCATCGGGGAGAGATGAACGTGAGGTTACCACCCCCAGAAAGATCCACCAATCAGGTGCCTGCTCTTATAGACGTTAATTGGTTCATTGGTGTCAGCTGGGTTGGTTAACCAGTCCTAATGCAGGAGTGTTAGACATCGAGCCTGGGAGACTTGACTCTGGGGGGGAAAATGCCCAGGATAAGAAACTGAAACAAACTGGTCCAGGATCAGCTTAACTCAGATTCCCCTCATAGTGTCTGATAACCCCAGTGACTGTGGGACAGGACATGGTGTCTCTCAGCTACACCCCCCCTCCATGACCCTCTGCTGCCTACAGCCTCCTGTTGTTATTCCAGCTTCTCCACCCTGTGTTGTCAAAGTACAGTCTGTAAATCAGCCCTGCCTGCCGCCTAACCAAGGTTAGAAGAAGGGTTTTTCCAGCCAGTAGTCATGTCAAACAGCCAGGGAGGAGCTCTGGGCAGCTAAAGGTCTGAACCAGAGTGAAGAGGTGGCATCTTTTGCACCAGAGAGAGTGGGACAAAGAAAGAGCAGCAACCAGCCAGAGTACTCAAGAGAGAACCCACGCAGTCACAGGGAGGACCTTCTTGCTGTGAGGTGACAGCGCTAACCACTGTGACACTATGCTGCTGCCTAGCCTAGCTTAGCCACGATTTTACCTTGTGTTGAATTAATTTGGGAGTAACTGGAACTTTGTCTAACATTAGTGCTTTGTTCCATTAGCAGTAACAGAGCATTCCAGAGTTTCGTTAGGTCTTGAGGCTGAAAAGACAGACGGTAAGAGGAGTCTTAAGACAGTTTTACTCACCTCAGTGTAACTCACATCCTTTCTTACTGTTAATCCATTTGGACTGAACGAGATCTTCTGCTCCTGGAGAACAGAGAAGAGCTCTGAACAGGGATGTAAACAATAAAGCATCCAAAATGTTGCCAGTGGTTTATTATGAAGGACAAACATTCAGCATGTTAGTGCTTGAAGAACAAAGTGAGAGAAACTGACATCTCCCAGTTGTGAAGACCGGGATAAAAAAAAAAAAAAACAAGCCTGACAAAACACTCAACTGTGGTAGGACATGACAAACTGGGTACGAACCTAAACATCTGGGTAAAAATTGGAATTTTTGGCTAAAAATATGAGAAACGTGGCCTGAGGTGAGAGGAGAACCTGGGTCAACTGAACATCTGTGTGAAACACACCAGGACACAACATGAGGATTCATATGTGAACCTGAAGCTTCAGACACCAGAAAACCTGTCTTGCAGTTTATGAACAAATATCCTGACGATGATCAGTTCTGGGTTTGAATGACTACACAACTACAAACACCCCACGCCTCAGACTGTACCTGTTGGACCGGTCTCTGGACCAGAGTCTTCTTTGGCTGCTCTCACTTCTGTAGAGGGGATCTCGCACACTGACTCCACGTTCCCATCTTTGCTTTCTCCTGGATCCTCTGGTCTGAGCTGGACCTCCTCTTCTTCTGCAGGACCTCTCTCTATCGGCCCAGAATCCTTCTCAGAGTCTGCGACTCTGGTCTGGCCCTCAGTCCCCTTGGTGCTAGCAGCAGCAGTACAAAGGGTGGGTTCAGGGGGGGTCTGGATCTCTGTGAGGTCTCTGGTGGTCTCAGCTGAGTCTGGTTCTGGCTCCCTTTCAGCTGTTTCAGGCGTAGGTACCTGGACTGTTTCTTGACGGTCTGTAGGCCTCTCTGATTGGCTGGAAACAGAAGAGTCAGGCTCGTCCACAGCCGCAGTCCTCTGGATGGACTCAGGACGGTCTGACAAGAGCAACAACACAGTCAAACCCATACTCACTGATAAAAAAAAAAAACACCAGCCCAGTAGGTCCAGCACAGTCCTCACCCTGCACTCTGCAGGCGCTCTCTGCTGGCGGCTTGGTCTTCTTCAGGTTGTAGCCCTTCCGGATCTCGGCCAGCAGGTTGTCGATAATGCAGCCTCCATCCTGACTGACATCCTTCCTGACTGGAGGGCACACAGACGTTTAACATCGACACGATTAGCTGTTAAAACATGGCTTGTGTTGAGATGTCGCTGCTTCATTTTGTGTCTCCTGTTGAACACTGAGGCACTGAAAGACTTAACCCTGTTGTGCTGAGAAACTTTGTTGTTGTGACATTTTTGTGGTGCATATTTTGTTGCAGATAAATGTCAGTTAAACACTGAGATAGTATACAGGTTTTGTTTATTCTAAACATTTGTGTTTGCCGAGATGCACTGTTTACCAAAGGTTTTGTTCAAGTGTTTTGTTACAGTATGTTTTTTTTTTTTTATAAGGATAATCACCTTTATTGGCCAAGTATGTTACACACGAGGAATTTGTTTCCAGTACAAAACCGATGGCGGCCATTTGCGGTGCCACCTCAACCGACGGCTCTAACCATCGGGGGTAACGGGGTGGGTTTAGTGTCTTGCCCAAGGATACTTCGACACGTGGACTGCAGGCACCGAGATTTGAACCTTAAACCTTCTGGTTGGGAGACGACTGCTCTACCCACCGCACCACTGTCACCTATTTTGTTGCAAACACGTTTCTTTTGAGATTTGCTACTTTGCTCGATGTCCTCACCGTTATTTACCATTTTGTTATTGCGTTTTTAAAAAGGTGCTCTACAAATAAGGTTCCTGGGCCTCGCTCACCAACATCTTCCTAAGTCCCAAATAAGAAAACACAGGCGAGTGCCAGAATCTTTATGGAAACTTCTAAGTTGGTTTTGCAATCAAATTTGTTCTTAAGAACAGTCTGTGACCCAATGTTTTGTCACCCAGACACTGTCTTGTTGAGATGATATTAGGTGGAATTACAGGGTTGGACTCACTGATCTTGTTGGTTTCTCCTCTCAGTTTCTTCTCCTCCTCCTGCTTCTTCCTCCTCTTCTCCTGCTCCTTGAAACCCTCGTTCTCCTGAAGGACAGACATTACAACCTGGTTTTGTTTGGTGTTTCTCTTTGCAGTTACTGGACAAATGTTTTATGTGTGGGGGGTGGGGGCTGAGATTCTGAATGCAAACCACATTCCCTGGTGTTTTTTAACTAAGGGACAGTAGTAAAGACCTTGAGGGCTCTGAGGAACAGTCCCCTGAAGGTCTTGATGGTGTTGAAGAGTTCATCGAGGGAGAAGCTGCTGCTGTCCTCGCACAGGTAGACGGAGAGATCTGTCCTCCTGTCCTCCACAGAGGACAACTTCTGCTGCAGCTGCTCACATGACTCCAGGCTCTCCTGAGAACACACCACAGAAGAAGAATTTATTGTGTTGGTGAGCTCCAGTCTGTTTGTTATGAAATAAAACACCGTCGATGAAGCAGAACGGTAGAGAGGATTAAGTCCTCCTGTAGGTGGTGCAGTCTGGCCCGTATCACCTGTATGGCAGACAGGTACTGCTCCTTCAGGTCCTCAGATGAGGACAAAATTTTGGCTTCAGACGTTTTGAGCTGTTTCATCAGAGAGTTTGCTTCAGACTGGATCGACTCCACATTCGACCTGCAGACAAAGCCTGAGACTCAAACAGTGGACGACATTTTTAAACAGACCATCGACACAGGGTACGTCTCATGTCTCTTATCAGCACCATCATTTCCCTCACTTGCGTCTTTTACTTGTCTCTTAGTCCCACTCACATAAGATGCAAGGAAAACATGAGAAGAGACAAATTTCAACATGAGATATCCTTCATCTGAAGCATCCAGTCACCATCTGATTTCTGATAAAGGGGCATCAGTTCACACAAAAACGTCCACAAAGGAAGGTCTCATGTTTCCTTGATCATGGCTCCTCGGTCCTCACTCCTCAGAGCTGATATAAGACACTTGGAATGTCCTACGTCCTCAGTCGACCGGGGAATGATCTTATAAGACATGAGACATACCCCCGTCTGTGTTTGGTGAAGAGAAGCAGCTTCACACTCAGGACTGAACATTTATTTTTCTCTCTCGTAGCAGGAAATTAGTTTTGCTTGGACTGAAACCTGAAGCATTTGAAGTCAGTAATTTAAAGGGCAGATGTTTGTGAGGTTTTAGGACCTAGTGATGAACGGACCTCTGGCTGAGCTGCTGTTACACAGTGATGCACTCAGGTCACTTAAACTGATGGTATAACTTAATTCAACTGGCCTAAAACTTAAAAAAAGACAAACTGATAATGGGACCAGTTTACCCAGCAGCCTTTTCACAGATCATCAACAGCAGGTCAGGGTGGTTCGCTTCCACTTCCTGTTGATCACACAGCAAGAATGTTGAGCATGAAGAGTGCAGCCCAAAAAACATCATATAGTCTGACAGAGCTAGTTGTGTCCCAGTATGACCGGTATGACCAGGACTGTGGCTCCAGGGTGTTACCTGCAGGATGTGGTGCAGCAGTGTGATCCTGGACTTGTTGGCTTTAGTTTCTGTCAGTTTGAGCAGAGTGGTGATCTTAAAACCTTCAGCATTTCCCGTGTGAGTCCCCTGACACAGATCACATGACAACTGATGACATCACAACATGGCAGATGATGACATGAACTGTCAGACAGTGAGCCAATAAACCCCGTGGGTGAGGTTCTTTAACTCGCCGTTAATATGAAGTCACGTGGACACACAGAGAAAAGAAAGATTCTCACATAGTTGAGAAAGTTTCCAACACTCAGGATGAGTTTACAGAATCTCGGCAGCAGAGCGCTCTCCCTCACACCTGAACACACAAAACAACACAATGTAACAACACGGTCCAATGGAAAGGAACACATACCAGGGCCAGACAGTGCCTCTGGTGCTGCTCTTACCATTATCAGTTACATCTCTGTCCTGTAGCTGCTGCTTTCGTTTGAATACAGGAAAAACTTTAATGACCCGTTGAATTACATTTTTCCGTGTTGAGACAAACAGCTGAACTTTATGTATTTAGACTGTGGTGCAACTGAGCTGTTTCTGTCCTTATCCTGAAAACCACAGGGCCTCCTTCAAGCTCTTGGATACGTGGCCCGATCCATTCTCTACAGCGAATTATAAGAGCGGCCTCTGCTGGACCACAGGGTGAACTACGGACTTCAGAGACCACTGACTTTATAGACTTTACATCTTTTTTTAAACAGGCCATTAAAGCTGTAATATTTAAAATTTTCTGGTGTTTAAACAGAACTTGAATGAAAAGTGGCAGCCCAAGTATTTAGCGTATTGATTGTGTACATCTGTTGTGTATACAGACTCTGGCAGGCTCGGTCCAGCAGCTCAGCTTTGGGCTTCAGAGTCTCCAACACACAGCTGCTCTCCTCACACAGCAACATGCACTCTATCCTCAGAGAGTAACTGCAACACACACACACACACACACACGTGCACGACTATAACTTTGCTCAGTAGTAAACGAGATCTGGTAGCGGACAGGTCTGTCTCTCATCTGATGACAGTGTTGTATCTGAGCAGCAGCTGACACTGTCCACCCACCTGGGGACATCCAACAGCTGCAGGTAAAACTGATCCACTGAGGCCAACCTATCCCGATCTGCCTGGTGAGACTTCAGGTTCTCTATCTGAGAGGAGAACAGGTGACAATGGACGGTCAGGTGAGACATGACACACATCAAAAACAAGTATAGGAAAAGTAAGAAGGAGACAATGAAGGCAGGTGAGGCAAATACATGTTAGGTGGAACAAGAAACAGACCTGTGAATTACAGGTGAACAACATTTAGGACAAAAAAAGACAAGCACAGCAAGAAAATGACAAACGATACAGGAGGTGGAAAGGTGAGACTGATAAAACACCAATCACAGGTGAAAAACAGGAGATCGACAGGTGAGACAGAAGGAAGACAGGTGGGGGAAATGAGGAACACCTAGGACAGGTAAGAAAACAACAGGCAAAGCACAGATGAGACGTGAAGCTGAGGCACAGCAAAAGAACAGGTCAAGGTGAGACGTAATGGACAGGTAGGACAGCAGAAACAGTTACATAACCAGTCAACGATAGGCAACAGGTACATAAACAAGTGAAGGAGAGACAGTAAGGAGGACAAATCATGGAGGAAGGACATGTGAAAGACAGGTGTAAGACCAATGAAGAACAGCTGGAGGACGGGGGGGTTTCAGCCTCTCACCTCGTGTCTCTCCGGCAGCAGTTTAATCAACTGTTTCAGGCTCTCAACATCAAACTTTGTCCTGTCTCCTCTCCGGATCAGGGACACAAAGTCCGCATGGGAACTGCAGGAGAAACAAGTGAGACACATGGGGCAGGTGAAGGACAAGGTAGGACACAAGGGACAGGTAAAGGCCACGTGAGACAGTTCACCTGTCCTTCACCTGACGGTGCAGAGATATGTTTGTGTTGCCTGAGAGGCTGATGCAGAAAAACAGTCACCATTTGAACTGTTTGAGGAAGATGTTGAGGTTGAGGTTTTTCTTGGCATCGATGAAGGAAATCTGTGGACAAAGTCGACAGGTGTTGACAAAAAGACGGCACCACAGAAGATGTTCACCAACTGAAATCCAACAGCAGCTGACAACACATCACTATGGTTTCAGGTCTTCAGACTGTAAAATGACTGGAGAGTGAGGGGATACTGATTCTGAGTCACAGCTGCTGTACCTCACTGGACTCTGTCTTGGCTTTGGTTCTGGTCTTGGTCTCAGTAGGAGGAAGACTGAAAAGCTGCTCGATGCTGCAGTAATCTGGTTGCACCGACTCTGAAGATGATGACGTCCACAAGGACTGATGAGCTGTGGAGACCCATATTAAAAAAGGACGTTTTCAGTTCGTCCTTTGTCTCTAGCATCCCTGCACATTCAAACCACTTCACCTCAGCGGTCCATATATAATTACCAAAATCCTGGTCCTGCCCTGGTCCACCACAGGACGGACCACATGCGTATAAAACACGTTAAAACCTCTGGCCACTGACCTGTCATTGGTCTGGACGAGAGTTTCTGCCAGTTCAGTTTCTTCATGCGGAGGGTGGGGCAGGGGGTGGAGCTTATCAGGGGTGCAGAGCTGGTATATGACCTGCCCAGACCCTGAACCACCTGGGCTTCAATGATGCCACCTAGAGGAGGAGGAGGAGGTGGAGCTCCCATACCAGGTAAGGGAGGAGGAGGAGGAACTGCCATACCAGTTAAGGGAGCAGGAGGAGGAGGAGCTCCCAAACCAGGTAAGCAGGGGGGGACTTGAGAAGACGCTGTTGACACAGGGGTTGCAGAGACATCTTTTATAAGCATCTCGGACTGGCCAGGAGGACTGACTGGTAGTTGAGTCTGTACCGCTCTGTCAGTGGTTTGGATCTTGCGATTGGCTGAGAGGGTCTTTTGGGGGAGGAGCCTCTCCCGTAGACACTCACCAGCATCTAACTCAGCTACAAAACAGAAAAACATTTTAGTCAGTGCCGTGTACCATGCTCCGGTGTGAACACCACTGAGCTCCTAAACTGCCGCACATGCACAGATGTAACTGAAATGTGAGCCACGTGTGCGACAGTCAAATGGCCCAGTTTCCTCCCGAACTGCTGCGTTACAATATGTTCCTTCCAGTTTGTCCTGATCAGAAGCTTCTCCATAAACATCCACAACATGTGAAATGTCCTGGGGCTCGTTTTAAGAAGGAGGTTTTGTTGAAACTCAGAGTTTGTTAACCCCAAAATGAGGGAAACTCTGAGTTTTCGGTTTCAGAAACGGAGGTAACTTAAACCC